TTTTTGTATCGGTTCCTCTCCTTTCCTCGCTTTCAATTTTTGCTCTTTCCGGCTTTCAACTTCTTTGTTTTTTGCTTCCACCCCCCCCCCTCCCTTTCTTTGGCAGTGATGAGGCGAAATTTGAGAGGAGGCCGTGCCCTCATAATCTGCACCTGAGATGGACCACCCCGAAGAACCAGCAATGTCACATTCTCAATTCTGAAGTTTGAATGGGCAACATGACCGACAAGTTTGTTGGCATCAGGATTGCAACAAAGACACAATATAATGCTTCAACTCACAGTTTCCATGGGAATACAGCACTCTCAAGTATTCACTATCAATCTGATTTCCTTTTTCCATTTTGTTCTCCCTTCTAACCCTTGACATTGTTGCTATAGGTTAGGTTCAGACTCATGATCTATTCAGCAAAAGTGCCTGGGGTATACAATCCAGCACACAGTCAGGTTAATCCCAGAGGTGGTCCCCACCTCCACTAAACCAGGGTAATTCTTCCATCCTATGGGACGTGGATCCTAGTTTGATTAGCAATAGTCACATGTGCCTATGATTCAGCCTCGAGAAGTGAAGAAAGTGTTTCGAGTACGTACTTCACAGCACCATAGCCAACGGCCTTCGCTGCATGCTCCATCTCTTCCTCTGTCCAGTTCTTCAAATCACCTGGAGACACAGAGTAAGGGAAGATATCCAAGTAAATTCCACTTTGTTCCGACAATTTTAGGGGGGAAAAACGCTCAGAGGAACAGCAGTCCCCATGCCCCTTCTCAGAGCCTTTGCCAAACTGAGATAGCCCGCAACAGTGTTTGCTATGTCACCTGACATTTACAGACAGAGCAGAGAATACATAGCAATAAATTGACACACAGGCAGCAGGGGCTGACGCTCAATAGGCCTCGGGCCGTTCCAGTCCAGATCGGAACACCTGAGCCGACTGCACATCAGGGTGCACAAGGTCAAAACTTGCACAAGATATTTCAAAGAAAAAACGGAGTACATAAAAACGTTTGGCTGAGCTACAGTACATTGAAAAGAAGAGGTGCCAAAAAAAAAAAAAGATGCAAAAAAAAACTGACCAGATGTGAGGTATAAACTTATAAAACATTCCAAAAATGAAAAAATAAAACTTCAGGAAAAAAAAAAAAACAGAGGCACTCCGATACGGCTCTGCTCAAACCACATTTCACCCCCTTTCTTACACCTTCAGACCCCTCTTTAGGCTCAGACATATCTTTGGAAACCAGCTCTGATCTGGCGTTTATTGGTCCTGTCCTCGAGCGAGGCTGCATGGGCCGCTTCTTACAGGGGGGTCCTAAGCATGTCCAGCCTAGACAATGCGACTCGACAACCAGGGCGGGGGATTCCACAGCATAGCTACGAGCCGCAATAGCTGCGGCACGTAGCTCGCACAATCTGCCCAGAAAATCTGGCAAATGTCATTCAAATAATACCAGCGCAGAACCCAGTTCAACATGCCTGTACATTTTTACATGGGATCGGGAGTTACTTTTACGAATTATCAACGGACAACCAACAACCCCCGGCACCAGAGCAGCATATAGAGCCCCACCACAGGGCAGATACGTTCGTGACTACTTGTGTATCTGTGGTGAGGCCCAGAGTATATTGTCTTAGTGACAGTCAGCAAGAAATTGAGAAAACTGATCTATTAGCAATCATACACAGTGTCCCTCGGGACATCTGTTAAAATTGGAACGATACAGAGAAGATTAGCATGGCCCCTTTGCAAGGATGACACGCACAAATCGAGAAATGGTCCGAGTTAAAAAAAATAAAAAAATAAAAATAAAAAAAATAAAAAGAAGCAATCATACACAGTTTCGCTCACAGTCGTCCCTCCTACAGCAAGAAACAAGAATGGGCTGAAGATCATCAAAGTGTGACCAAAACAGAGAAATCCTGTAATCCCTTGCTAATAAGTCCGCACTCAACCCCAATTCTGCAAGGAACAGAGCACCAGTCCAGGGACAGACAATGAGTTTACCTATTTCTTGACTGTCAAAGAGTGAATAGGGTGGTAGGCATATCCTAAGGAATGCCAAGATCTCACTCATACCAGGACGATAATAATATGAACTCGATGCAATGCAATCAAGCTCAGCAACAGCTGGACCACATTGCCACTGCTGTGTGTGAATGAAAACCAGAAATGCGGGTAGGTTCAACACAGTCCCAGACAGTTCCCATGAACATACGTCCTTCCTCGAAAGGAATACATACCTCTTTCCTCCAGTCTTTGGCGAATCTCCACCTGTGACCTGTTCTTGGCTTCGTCCAGCAGGTCAGCAAGCCGTACTACCTCTGTGCTACGGGTCCTGAATCGCTTGCCATCCGAACCCAAAACCAGCCCAAAGCCAACGTGGCGCAACTGGACCTTGCTCTTCTCTTTCTTGCCCTCCAGCTTTCCGTTATTTGCAGCTACTGCAGCGTATCCACTCGCGCCATCTTCATCTCTTCCCTCTACATCCCCATCATCCTGCACTTCTTCTAGCCATCCTGCCATTTCAGCTGCCTGCATCCCATGTAAACACATCAGTAAGAGACTACTTTTGCGGTCTGTTATCACTACAAGTTCAGCGAACAAAAGAGAATCGGAGACCGAAAACGCTTCCATTCTGAGAACATGATTGCAGCCATCTAGGGCTGCAAAGAATCATGCATAAATGCCACTGAAGAATTTCTTAACACCCATTCAACAGCTCACCTGGGAACTACTGCTTCTTATGTGGCAAAAGACGAAACCACAACGACCGCCGGAGAATGGAGGGGGGGTAGGGGAGGGAGAGAGAGAGAGAGAGAACAGGGAGAGAAAGTGCACTACGCGCAACAATTCGTAGCAAAAGGCTCACACATACAAACTTGGTCACACATTTATCAACTCTGAGTAGCATTTCTATCACTTTGACATTACTCCAATTGACTAGGGTCATCCACCCCCAGTCTGTGTTGTGGAATGGGGAATTTATTTGGTGCTAAGTGACAAACATCGTCGATTCTCCATAGCATTTATATCACTCGGACCCTCCCCCACCCCCACCCCCACCCCCATCCCCCTTTGCTCTTTCTCGACTCTATGGGTGGAGCACATGGCCATTCTTAGTTGGTATAACCGCCAGTTAATGCATGGAGTGATTTGCCTGGTTGAACCACCAGTTTACACGAACCTCAGTAGTGCTCTTTCCGGCATATGCGGTAAGAGCACTTGGCTTCAGGCCTGGGCCAGTAGTGAAAGCGGCACGCCACTTTGTAAAAGGCCCAGTTGCAGGCTCGTGAACCTTGGAAGGTAGCTTCATCAACTTAGGCTCGTGGGAACTGGTGGTTTAATTCCGTATTAAAAAAAAAAAAGGGACTCGTGGGAACTGGTGGTTTAATTCCGTATTAAAAAAAAAAAAGGACAGTCCAACCCAAGCTCATGTTGTGGAATGGCAAAATTAATGCAGGGTTATGTACGGTTTGCTCACCTTGAAAACCATGGCAAAGTGCGAGCTCTGTCCAACATCTGTGACATAAATTACATGCTCCGCTTTTTCCGTCTTCATACGGTACCTGCATTGCATTTCCCATCCACAGTCAAACAAGAAGTCATCCATGAAGTCACCCATGCAGTCACCCACGAAGTCACCCATGCAGTCAAACATGAAGTCACCCATGCAGTCACCCACGAAGTCACCCATGCAGTCACCCATGAAGTCACCCACCAGCAACAATTTGATCAATCGGTTGACTTCCGCAACAAAGCAACCCGGCTACGCACTGTAGCCCGCCACTGTTAAAACCCACAGGCAGAGATCTGTCTACCACCCATTGCCATCCACAATTTTTTACATCACCCACTTGTCTTTGGAGCAAACTGGAACTGATAGGGCTTCAAACGAAGACTGCAAGGGCTGCGAAAAAAGACTTTGCAATGCTGAGAGGAATGCAGGAAAACTCCAACAACATAAAAGGCAGCAAAAGTGGACACCCCAGCAGCAAAGGCACCGCATTCATTCATCTCCGATTTTGCTAAATTTCAGCATCCTATTGCTCCCTTTTCTCGATTATGTGTGGCATCCTTGCACAGGGGCCATGCTAATCTTCTCCGTATCGTTCCAATTTTAACGGATGTCCCGAAGGGTAATCAGCAGTTATTACAACGAACAATGTGTGCGATCCTTTCAGCATCTTATTGATGCCTTTTCTGTGGATAAGAAGTTATTAAAATGATTTTTTTAACATTTGAGATGATTTGACGGTTACCATGGTTTGCCTCAGGATGACCAGAATCCACAGAGAAGCTAAATTGGCAAACAGCAGCTGCTAGCATATCATAATAATAATAAAGAACAGCTGCAAGCCACCTCTGGATGCTACCTCAGTTGAGGCATCTCCTCAATCATCCTAGTGCAGCAACAGCCCTATGGATTTACAGTCGCCATTGAGGACCAAATTGGGGCGGGGAGATATCATCAGGCAGGTGGAAATTCAGACCTCACAAAAGTGAGCACGAACAGGAGGGGGCCATGTCAAACCCACAAGGCCCTTCCTTCCTGCGGAGATTGTTGAGAGAACAGAGCAGGAGGACATATGCAGCACGATAAAATTTGCATGGGGCATGTAGAGGAGCGGAAAGGGATATCGGGAAAGGGATCACATGAGGGGTGGGGTTGACGAAAGGGGATGAAATTGGGAGGCCATGGAAGAAGGAAACTCAAGGGCAGTAGGCAAGCGAAAGAGGAAGGGAGGCGAAGAGTCAAAGAGGTGAGATGGGAAGTGGAAGAGGAGGTCAGGCTTACCAGAGGGCAGCCAGGTCTGTTGATGCATAATTAAAACCTCCATCACTCTTCCGTACAATGAGAGGGACATTGTGACCTGGTACAAAGATGCAGAGTGCACCCTCACTCATTTCTGTGAGGCCCTTCTCATTCAATTGGTCAAGCACCGAAGGAATGAGAGGGTTATAGAAGCTCTCTCCCTGGAAAACATGGACAAAGGAAAGCACATAAACACATTTGCTAATGCAATCAGTTGCAGATGGAACAGTTGATACGGTCACGGGTTAGCAACGTAAAGCAGAGATAGTGTCTAATTGCAATAACCAACAACTGAGGCGAAGGCAAGTTCAATTGCGATAATCGACTAAGGCAAAGAGACACTATGCGCATGTAGGGCCAGTTTGGCCGCGCGCACCTCCCCACACTCGGAGTTTCACACTCCACTTTAGCCCACACCCTCAGCCCTCAAAGACAATGAAGTCCATAAGTTCAATATACTGTAAATGCACAAGTGACCCCCCCACCTTTTCTTCAATTTGAACGTGCAGCTTGTCGTAAATCTCTTGGAACTCCTTACGGCTGATCTCGCATATTCTCTTCCATGCCAACCTTGATTGCTCATCTCCACCCTGAGCACAACGATCCATCACAAGCAAATACATATTATGATTACATTCAGTGACATCTCTCTCTCTCTCTCTCTCTCTCTCTCTCTCTCTCCCTCCCTCACACACACACACACACACACACACACATCCATATGCTCTGCTCGCTCTCTCTCCCTCCCTCCCTCCCTCACACACACACACACACACACACACACACACACACACACATCCATATGCTCTGCTCGCAAATTGAGGTCATATTTCTGTTGGCGCCGCCAAGACATTTCCTCAGACAGCAGACAACACTTGAAAAAGCCATCACAATATCTTAGCTTGACCTGCTGAACCTTCCCACGTTTACTACGACAGTTTGCTGCTCCAGGTGGGGCAGGATACGAGTGGCTAGGTGAAACCATCAGGGTTCAGCACTGATTTGTTATGTATTCAGGCGCTGAGGTTCCTCCCCATCCAGAACCAGTTCTCTTTTCTCTTTTCACAGGAGCAGGCCGTTTCAAAATAGTGCAAGGCTCACCCTTCCATCACCTCTGTGCACAGCATGTCAGTAGTGCCGTTGCATGCAGCCACGAATTTAAGGGGAGTTAGAATGCCCCGAGGGTCGCAATGAACACTCTTATTGTGCTTGCAACAGGATTTGCAGCCTTTCCAGTTTATCGATTCATAGGTATGTGTCTGCGTTCCATGAAGCGAGAGTAGCAGAAAGTTGACCTCCTGATGCAAACAGTGACAGCCACATGATGGTGTTCACAGTATATAAATGGACACAAGTGACACATTTTCCTGCTGACAAAGATGATGGTGTTCACAGCTTGGGACATGGACAAGCAACAAGCTTTCCTGTGCTGCCAAGGTTCTCAGCTGCGAGGGTGTGATAATAGCCGAGCTCAAGTTGGCAGTCACTGACGACAACACTCAGGATCTCGAGAGCAAAGCCGCCTCCTTGAATGATCTAACTAGTACTTCCGCCAAATTTATGCATGCAAAGAGGTGTCATAAAATTCTCTGACGTCGGTCTTACCTGTAGCCGAACTACTGCTTGCTGGGCTCTTTCTTTGAACTCTGGATCTTGGTCAAACCTCACCTTCGCCGCCTTGTAGAAATTCTGCCACCAACAATAAAAAAAAATCACATTATCTCAGATTTGCTTACTCCTCTATTTTGCAAACTACCATCCATCCACCACCACTCCTCTTCATTCCTTCCTCTTCATTGCATCCCATTGGCGATCAAATTTATCGACCAGATTGCTCTGGTACAACTAGCTCACAAATTCATATGCCACACAAAGAGACTGCAGATGCGACCATCGGCACAGCAAAACCATAGGCACTCAAAGGCATTACGAGACCATAAGGTGACCGTAGGCACAGCAAGACCATAGCCAGCCATAGGTCGCAACCTTCCACCTTAGTCCGCTACTACCGACTATATACCTTGATGAACTCCATCACTGTATAGACACAACTATCAGTGACCATAACATGCTCGAAGAGCATACACTTTGAACTTGAATTCACTCATTGTGGAAGGAACCGACCATGGGCCGAAGAAAAGATGCATCACTCCATTAGACAGGGAGAGATCTAAATCCGCCAAAGCATATTCTATGTCACTCATAGATGTTTCCTCGCTTTAGAAGGGGGGGGGAAAAAGGGAAAGAAAAAAGAAACAAAAGACAAACAGAGAAAAGGGGAATAGAAATTGAGTTTGACAGAGAAATAGACAAAGTTTTTCAACAGCACAAACCACACGACGCGAACAGAGAAAGTTTTTCAACAGCACAAACCACACGACACGAAAAGAGAAAGTTTTTCAACAGCACAAACCACACGACGTGAAAAGAGAAAGTTTTTCAACAGCACAAACCACACGATGCAAAACAAGAATTTTTTTCAACAGCACAAACCACACGACGCAAAGAATTTCATCTTCGCAAACGAGAAAGTTTTTCAACAGCACAAACCACAAGACGTAAAGAATTTCATCTTCAAAAACGACCACTGTCAGACATCATGCACTACATTGACTTTGCCTCTCCAAAACCCCCAAAATGCAAATTAGTTTTTAACCCCCTTACAAAACAACAGGCCAGTCCTGACGCAGGCACTGACAGGTTCTGACGTTTCACGTACACGGTTCACTAATTCTACTTGCTGAGTTCTCGTTACCTATTTGGTGGGATTTCACTGGATCAAGTGACCAGTTTCGCTCGTGGACTTCCAGGCAACCTCAGGACACGAAGTGGGTGAAGCCGAAGGCCTGACTTTAGTGAGTGCACACAAGAAAGACAAGACATTGGATCTCGTACTCAACTAATTATGTACTAGAAAAAGGAGTTCCTGTTTTTTGTCTTGATGAATATCCAGTACAACAGTTTTTTTTTTACCACTGAAAGACAAAGAGTCGACTTCCAAATGCTAAATTTGGAGGGAAGAATGCAAAGGATCAAGACGCACCTGAAGATCGCCGATCGCTTGGTCGCCTTGGTTCATCCAATCTGGATTTTGCTCAAAGAGAGATTGAATAAGCATCCCGAACTGCATGTCAAGAAAAGCCAGGTGGAGTGGGAAATGAGTTGTGAACTGAAGTTTTTTTCTTTTTTTCTCCCTTCTGTGCCTACCCCTTTCATTTCCATGGCCCTCACTGTAATAGTGGGACACAAAAAGTGCTCGTCGATAAGGTCGTTTCACAAAATCCAACATTCCATGACCCGCCCCAGAGAGGTCGACTGCAAAAGCTATAGACTGCACACTATCAAACTGATAGACTGTAGAACAAGCATGACAGTTCACCCTGAAGGGCCTGAACTCCGTCCCCAATACGATATAGGTGATCTGCCCCCATGTAGTATTTCACCAATCCGACTAAGGCCTTGCTGGTTTTGACCAACAGCAAGCGTGCATTTGTGTCCTTCCCCAAGTGCAGAAGGCCGATGGGCTGCAGGGTATGCTTCCCCAAACACGAGCGCTCTTTGAGCCTCATCTCGTATAAGCGCCGAGGGGCTCTGGCATCACATCTCCAGGCACGAAGTGCAGCAAGACATGCTGGACATGAAGTGCAGACGCAAAGCTTCGAAGTTCGGTCGCACACTTTGATAACTATAGGCGACCTTACGGCCGCCCTCAAACCCACATTCATAAGCTGACAGCTTTTCCAAAGAGAAGAGGAGAGAAAAGACAAGAAGAGCAGAAAGCGATAGGAGAGAGAGCAGAGAAGAGAAAGGAGGCAGGGGGGCGAGGAGGAACCGAAACATACTGCAGGAAGAGAAAAGAGGGGAGGAGGGGAGGAGGACCAAAAGAGAACACAGAGGGAAAGGACGACAAATAGAGAAGAGATGAGATAACGAGAGCAAGGGAGAGAGGATAGGAGGGGGAAGAAGAGAAGAATACAAAGGAAAAGGAAAGGAAAGGAAAGGAAAAAAAAAAAGGGAAAAGAAAAGGAACAAATAACATTTCAAAAAAAAAAAAAAAGAGAGAGAGAAAGAAAAGAAATGAAAAGAGGTACTTCTTGTTAAGTTTGACGAGCAAGGCTGGAACCATTCACCAAGCCCACATCAATAGATTTTTTTTTCCCTGCTGCGCATCCGTAGATCTCCGGAACTAGAGGTTTCCAGGATTCCAGTATGGCATGGTATGAATGCGTGGGGTCTATGGAAATTCACATTGGCCACAAAAACAGGACCTGTTTCACAATCATGCATTGGAAACGAACGCGCCAGACAGGTGGGAAGGGGGAGGGACACGGACACTGTGGGCTTCTGGAAATCAGTGCGGAGAGGGGGGAGGCGGGAGGGGGGAGGGGGGAGGGGGGACAAGGGCATTATGGGCTTCAGGGGAGTGAGAATGGGGTTCTGAAGGGCAAAGAGTATCATCTCCTACACTGACAAACCCCACTGGAAAAAAATGCTTCGGCATACTGTTCACACAATCAGATCATGACAAAAGAAATTCCGAGCTCACCCCTGAGTCAAATGACATGCCCTTGCACATGCAGAGCCCCCAGCATCAGGGTAGGCAAATATTTCTTCGAGAGTACCCTTTGTGTTTTCATCAAGCACTGATTGAACCCTCCTCACGTGCTCTCAGGCCTGCACTAATGCTGAGCATATTTACACCTCTAGGTCAGGCTGGAAGACCTGCATAACCCTCCAGAAAAGAAAGCAGGAAAAGAGGGTGTGAATGAAGAGACTGCACTGCATACATACCAGGACAATTAAACAACTACGTAGGTCTGCTGCAAGGGTCTGTGGAGCACCTGATGAATGAATCTCTCGTGAAAGCCAGAAACATAGAGAGTTCATTACAGGTTCCATTGACACTTTCAGCACACGGATGCCATGGAGAACGAATGCCGCACGAGTTGATGGCAAGACGCATTCAGTACGTAGTTGCTTACCTGCGTTCCCCAGTCACCAACGTGATTTCTGCGCAAAACTTCAACCTTACAGAACTCGTACATTCGGCTGATGCAATCTCCGATGATAGTCGACCTCAGATGCCCCACGTGCATTTCCTTGGCAATGTTAGGGGACGAAAAATCCACTACCACTCTCTTCACTGGCAATACAGGGGCCCAGGAGTTGAGTCCATCCTGGAGAATCATCTCCAAGCGCTGCAGTGACCACAAGCAAAGACACAAGCAAAGACCAACAAGAGGATTTTTAACCCGGCACAAGCTATATACAATTTTGTTCATTGTCCTGTCCTGTCATCCGGCAATAGCGGTCACGAGCCTGGGTACTACTCCCCGCCAAACGAGTAGAGCGGGACTTAACCCTGCCGGGACTTGGCTCAACCCAGCCGGGACTTGGAGAGCTGGGAACCAATAACTCTCAGCGTCGATCGTATACAAGCAATACAACAACACTACTCCTGAGGGCTTGCTGGGTAGTTAGCATGAGGTCGCTTCAATATTCAGAGAAGAGGATAGTGTGTAGGGCATAAAAAAGCTGTCCCCCGTATGAGGCGTAGACAGCTTCTTACTCCCCCCTCCGCGCCCCTACCCCCCCCCCATCAAGAAAAAAAAATTGCTCATTTTCAATGTACTAAATTTTGTGATTTGTTATCCTATCCAACAACGGCCACACAAGAGCCCAGACAGAGAGCTATGGAAGCTTGTGGAAAAGACGGACCATGATAGCCCGATGGAATCAGCAAGTTTTTTTCCAAAAGTTAATACATCCTGCCCTGAGGGAACACCAAACGGGAGACAGATAACCTGAGCCGATTTCCACAAGTATAATGACCTCCACATACAAGGCGGTGTGCATTTTCCTTGCGAACGCTTTTAATTTATCAAGCTGCAAAAAAAAAGGAAGAAACGAAGAGATACAGGAGCATCCACGTGGCAGGCAAGGCAGAGACTAAAAGAGAGAGAAAGGGAAACATCCGGAGCATGATAGATGGAAGAGAAGTTCACGACATACTGACAACAGACTGGTTCAACTGCATCTGGTCGCAATTGCCCTCATATACATTCAACAAAGTTCTAATGTGTGTGCTCGTGCACTCCTCAGCTTTGCATTTCTCACACAACCTCACCAGCCAAGGCAATCAGAAGGAGGAGGTGATTCGTTGCTGCCCCTCTACATACTGCCACAGGGCTTTTTTTTTTTCTTTTTTTTTTTGCCGCAGGCCTCCTTTTTCTTTTGGCCGTAGGCCTTCTTTTTTTCATTTTTGTCCCCCTTCTTTTCTTCTTTTCGTTCCTTTCTTTCTTTTTTTCGGTGGCCTCCTTTTTCTTTTGGCCGTAGGTCTTCTTTTTTTCATTTTTGTCCCCCTTCTTTTCTTCTTTTTTTCATTTTTGTCCCCCTTCTTTTCTTCTTTTCGTTCCTTTCTTTCTTTTTTTCGGTTGTAAAAAGGGAGACGGCCTTGAGATATCATCATCTAACTGCCCGGGACTAGGTAATTCAGAATTGTAGTATTTTTTAGTCATCTGCATCCAGTGGAGTTCGAACGCGGCTCTGTATCTCAACAGTTCAGGGGTGTACCAACTGCGAGTTAGGCCAGTTGGTGCCTTCTTTTTTTCTTTGCGGCAGGCCTCCATGCCTTTCATTCACCAGCAAAATGACCACTTCCGGTCACTTCGCTGGCCCTTCTTCTCCCCACACCCCACGCTCCTGTTTCTTCCCTCCCTTCCCCCCTCCGGGACTAGGTAATTCAGAATTGTAGTATTTTTTAGTCATCTGCATCCAGTGGAGTTCGAACGCGGCTCTGTATCTCAACAGTTCAGGGGTGTACCAACTGCGAGTTAGGCCAGTTGGTGCCTTCTTTTTTTCTTTGCGGCAGGCCTCCATGCCTTTCATTCACCAGCAAAATGACCACTTCCGGTCACTTCGCTGGCCCTTCTTCTCCCCACACCCCACGCTCCTGTTTCTTCCCTCCCTTCCCCCCTCCCTTCCCCCCYCCCCCCCCCTCTCTTTCGTACCCCCCGCCCTCCGCTACTCTCAGCCTTCTTTCCTGCATTCGCCCTCCTTCCCCCCTCTTTTTACTCCCCCCACGCTCTCTCCTCTTCCCAGACCCGTTCTCTCAACCCTACCTTTCCCTCTTCCTACTCCTCCCCACCCACCTCTTCCTGCTCCTCCCCACCTACCTCTTCCTCTCCCAACCCCTAAACGCTCCATTAGTACCCAGCACCCCTACATACCTGCTCTAGCCACGACTTCGACAGCTTAATGTTGATGAAGCCTGGGCCAGCAATACTGGTAGTTTCTATCAGCGGAGTCTCCGGTAGATTTTTCATGATAGCCTGGAACAAGACATAAGTTTGGGAAAAACAAGTGAAACAAAACATTGTTGTTCAGCACGACGTCCAGGAAAAGAGGAAACAAAAAAACAAACAAGCAAAGAAAGAGACAAATGCCCCCCGCGCAAAACCAAGCAAATCGAAGAGCAATCGCAGGAAGCCAAAGTACCACATCTGTTTTTCCAACTTTCAAGTTTTTTTTCAAGTTTTCGGAACTTCCTTCAGAGGTTCAGACAAGCAAATCCATACTCTCATCACCCATTTGACCCGTGTCTATCAATTCCTCCATTCCAGTTTTCAGACATGTAAAAACATTTGAGCTGCACAATAGTCCGCAGACTACAGTCTTCCCCCGAATACAACGCACGGTCATTATTGCCGAATTTGGTGCATCTTTCGGTCTAAATTCAGCTATAATGACCGTACGTTGTATTCGGGGGAAGACTGTAGATTCCAGATTCTTTGCAGAATACTTCAAGGTCAGAAAGTATCAAGAATCGAATCCAGATTCTTTTGCTCTATTTTCCCCCAAGAGTGGATGGAACTCATATAAGATGGAGCATACACCTCAATAATTGGCAAAAGGTCATTAAATTCACTGGCTGTTGATGTGCGTTTTTTTTACGTTTATTTGCAGAAAGTATCAAGATCAGAAACCATCAAGAATCGAGTCAAGATTCGTTTGTTCTTTTTTTTTCCGCCAAGACTTTAATGTATCGAGACTGGAACTCGGATAAGATGAGCATACACCTCAATCATTGTCAAAAGGTCATACATTCACTGGCTGTTGATGTGCCTTTTTTACGTTTATTTGCAGAAAGCCTCGAGAATGGAAACCAGATTCTTTTGTTCTTTTCTTTTCCCCCAAAGACTTGAAGTATCAAGACTGGAACTCGGATAAGATGATGAGCATACACCTCAAAAATTGTCAAAAGGTCATACATTCACTAGCTGTTGATGTACCTTTTTGACGTTTATATGCAGAAAGTATAATGAATCGAATCCAGATTCCTTTCTCTTTTTTCCTTTTTTGGGGGTTCTTTTTTTCCCCCAAGACTTGAAGTATCAAGTCTCGAACTCGGATAAGACGAGCATACACCCCAAGACTTAAAGAATCAAGACTCGAACTCGGATAAGACGAGCATACACCTCAATCATTGTCAAAAGGTCATACATTCACTGGCTGTTGATGTGCCTTTCGACCCAACTCTCGTTCACGTGCATCTTCTACGTCTTTGGTCTGAGGGGATGGATGTCCATGCAGGTTGCTGTCTGACCCTCTTTACAACAACATAAGACCAAAATAAAAGAAAAACACACAGAAAAAAGGTAATGTAGATTTACGAAATAGACCAACACACCAGCACACGATGCATACAAAAGGGGACACCTGGATTGGATTGGATTGGATTGGATTGGATTGGATTGGATTGAATTGAATTGGATTGTGTCTCACCTCCCCAACAGCACGCGGATTCTTGAAGTTGGAATTTTTGCCCTTGACTTGGGCAAACAAAGCCATCGCATTGTTGCTGACGACCCAACCAGCCAACCATCCGATCAAGTGATCAGTTTCAGCACGTAGCCATCAATTTAAACTCTCCACAAAGGTCAATGAAACAGTACTCCTTGCATCCAAAATGGAGAGGAGAAGGAAAATTACGCAACTGATTGATTGTTTGGTTGGTTGGTTTGTTGGTTGACTGATTGATTGACTGAATGACTGATTGGTTGACTGATTGGTTGACTGATTGGTTGACTGATTGGTTGACTGATTGGTTGACTGGTTGGCTGATTGATTAGCTGGTTGACTTTCTGATTGATTGACTGACCGACTGACTCACTGATCGATTGACTAACCTATTAGTTGACTGATTAGTTTACTTGACTTGTTTTGATTAGGCTCTGCGTGATTTACGAATTGAATGATTGATTACATGATAGTGATTAAATGATCGCGATTGCATGATCGATACCTTAATCAAGCAATTTTTTGATTCGTTTGGTTTCTTTGCTTTTTTCTTACTTGTATCTGCTTGATTTACGGGTTGAATGATCGATCGAATGGTAGAGATTGATGAATGATCGTTTGAACGATCGATTGCATGATCGATTGAATAATTAACTAAGGTTGTTTGATTTGTTTGATTAGTTCGTTTGATTACTGATTTATTTGTCATCCTACGTCTGACGGTAGAAATCTTTTTTTTTTCTCCTTTTTGCCCATGCTAATCTTCTCTGTATCGTTCCAATTTTAACCGATGTCCCCAAGGACCTGATGGTAGAAATCTTGCTTTGGAGAAAAGCGGAAAATCACCCAAGTTAACCTTCCAAACCAAGATTTATACCGTCTGACAGAGGACAAAGAGTCCCACCACCACAACCTTGCCGATTCACATTTATATTGCACGAAAATAAATACTAATATCACATATCATAGCATACCTAGGCTACCAGAGTGGCCCGGGGTCACTTGCCCGTCCGGGCCAAAAAGAATAAAAAATTATTAAAAATCATAAAAACAAAAATAAATATTTTTAAATTTTATTTTTTATTTTAAATTTGGTGAAGAATTTCGATGTAACCCTGAGGCAGAAATTGTTCAGTTTATTTTTCTGCATAACATAGTTTTTTTTGGATTTTTTGGAATTTGTTTTTTTTTTTTNTTTTTTTTTTTTTTTTTTTTTGGGCTGGGACCTTCCTTGGTCCTTGCACGGGCTGGCCACCCGGGACCCGGGCGGCCCGGCTGGTAGCCTAGTAGCATACTATATTACATTCTTCTTTACGAATTGGAAAAAGGTCAAACAACGAAGCCTCTTCTACAAGGAATTTTGACAAGAGGAGCAGACCTGCCGTCCTCCCCTGAACATTGGAAAGAACAATCACGAGATATCTATCACAAGAAGGTGGGGAGAATAGAAACAAAAATGACCCCGCATTCTACTTCAGACAAGATGGCAGCACGAGCAAGAAGGATGCGCTAGACCATGGATCGGATAAAAACTAAGGAAGATCCCAACACTCAAGAATTGTAAAAAAAAATAAAAATTTCGTTCTCTATTTTTTTGAAAAGACGGCAGTAGCAAACAGCAGGCACGCTGCATTGGACTACGAATCCGCTAAACAAGCAAAGATCCGATACAGTCATGATGAGGGTGGGTTGTTCTGTTCGGGGGGAAGACGGTAGCCAAGATCCCAACACTCATAGGTAAAAGAGATGCTGTAATTCTTTTTTATTAGTTGTCTTTGAGACGGCAACAGGGCCACAGGCTGCACTGGGTTAGGGATCCGCCAAGCTGGCAGAGATCCCAACCCTCATCTCTTGGGTAAAAGTTTTTTTTTGTTTTTCCTGATTCAAAATAGGGAGAGAGGAAAGAGGAAAGGAGGAGAGGGGTACAAGAGAGAAAAAATACGGAAAATGGAGAAGAGGGGGTACAAAAAATATACCTAATTAAGCCCTGACCCCACAGCACAAATAGAAGTTACTATATTTAAGGCCCAAATTTTGCACTGTAGTCTTCACTTCGCCGTGGATTTCCTCCATCTAAGGGTTTAGCAAGACTGACAACCTTCTTCACCCGAATACAACGTACGGTCATTATTGCTGTATGTAGACTGAAAGATACCCCAGATACGGCTTGAATGACCGTAGGTTGTTTTCGGGTGAAAGTAGTACTAAAGCACAAAAATTGTCCGTCGGATTATGAATGTGCGGTCGGAAGCCCTCAAGACTTTCTTGTCTTGGGTAAATTTTCATTACTCTTATTAAACGGAAACCTTATGACCTACCTAGGTCTAGGTCCATTCTGAAAGGCTGCATTCCGGTTCCCTTTCAATTGTCTTTTCCAAAACCAAGCGATTGATTGATTAAAAAAAAAGGTGCTGGATTGATTGATTGATTGATTGATTGATTGATTGATTGATTAAAAAAAAGCGATGGATTGATTGATTAAAAAGGAGACTGATTCCTTACGCCCTAGGCCTCGTTCAATTCTGCAAGGCCGCATTTCGGTTCCCTTTCTTTTTTTTTCAAAGCGAAGTGATTGATCGACTTATTGATTGATTGATTATTGATTGATTGAATTTAAAAAAAAAGCGATCTGAGGGAACAGAATTTACCATTGGTAATCACCAAATGCAGCATTGTTGCACGGGACAACGACAGGCGCCACATTCTTTGCGAGATCGGGAAAAGTTGTCTTCAGGGATTCCGCCACAAGTTCCGATAGCAATTGTCTGACACTCCCATCCTTGACAAATTCAACGGCCTTGATCTGCATACAACACACCCGATCAGACATCATCCGCCACGTGGCAAGCCTGGCTGAGACGCGGAAAGAACACTTACTGGCAAACACTTCGTACGTTCAACGTATCTTCTTCAGTCAAAGCCCATGACCCGTCGGTGCCCACAGGCACAAACGAGAGTCGGCAGCTGGCTCGTCGGAGCTCCATGACCCGCTGCGAGCGAGCACTGACCAATAACAACTAGCACAGCCGCTCTTGGAAAGGAACCAACGTACGCATTGCCTTTTGTGTTCTCATACACCCTCCATTTCTCACACTACAGATTCAATTCGATCCTAAAATCGACATATTCTCTCGAAAGTCTCCTGCTGCCACCAATTCATATGCTCTTCTTCACCAGCTGTACTTGCCGATCATCGTAATGCCACGATCATGAATCGTCAACAACATCATCCTTCATCATCATCCCTCATCATCATCATCATCACCATCATCCTTCATGAACATCATCAATCATCACCATCATCGCCCTTCATCATCATCATCATCATCATCATCGTCATTGTCATCATCATCATCGTCATCATCATCATCATCATCATCATCATCGTCATCATCGTCATCGTCATCATCATCATCATCGTCATCATCATCGCCATCATCGCGATACCATCACATCAACCGCCATCATCAGCATAACGTCATCATCAGCATAATATCATAATCCGTGTCCTCATGTGCATCATTATCATCATCACCATTCATCATATCATAGGTCGTTCGTCGTTAATCATCATCATCATCATCATCATCATCATCATCATCCATTCTCATCCATCCTAGTCCATCATCATCTATCATGAAGGTCATCATCATCATTCATTATTATCTTTATCACGATTGTGACACATTACTTAGTCATCATCACCGTCTTTATAACAATAACGATCATGTTCATCACCAGTGCAATCAACAGCAGCAGCACCTCTATCACCATCATTTTTTTTTCTAATTACATCGGAATCTTTCAGTTTATTTTGAAACTTCGCCTGCATGAACGACTGCACTTTCAGTTTCCATCAACGTCTCGACGACCGCTCGCCATCATCATTATCGTCATCAGACTGCTGATGCTTAAGCCATCTAGTCCACCCCCCTCGGAGGACAAACCGAAACACCCTTTATACAAGCGGATCCAGTTAACCGCCTAAAAACATGCATAGCAAAAATTGATGCCATAGCTATACATGGGATGGGGTACATACGTTTTTCTGAGCTTTTTCCCCTTTATCTTCTTCAACTTCTCAAGGGCTTACATATGAGAGTGAAGTAGTTTGTGTTAGAAACAAAAGGAAAAGAAATATAGAAGAAGAGGAAATGGGGAATTATGTGGTTATAAATGACTACCGAATGAAAATACGTGATTATGATTATATCATTGATCAGCAGATCGCTACCTGAACACTTCCCACCAATTTGAAAAGAGAGCAATTATAAAAAACCCGAAAGTCAGAAATTCAATAACTCCTAGATTAAAAAAATATATTACTAAAAAAAAAAAAAAAAGAATATACTACTATATAAAGAACCTAGAAACGAAGAGGGAGCAGCAGTCCATGACCACGTGTGCTGAAACCTACATCGCTGAAGGTTCATCGGTTCCCCGTGAGTTATTATTTAAATTGAGGACGGGCGAAAATGAAAAAAAAAAAAAAAGAAATTCATCTATGTCACACTACATCCTCCTGTCGATCCAAGTTAAAAAGAAAGAACTTCGTCGAGATAACCTAATCCCAAGCCTGATCCCGCCACCACGAGGTTGGTAGCTGCTCGATTCGTTCATCTGGTTCCGTCTGGATTTGAACGCACATCCGCATTTTTTCAGTTTATTGGTGTACCAACTGAGCAAAGCCCGTCGGTGGAAGAAGCTGCTGATCAATAACGAACAATCGCATCAATTTCCAATTCTTTTTAATTTATTCGCTTAAACAACCGGTTTTCGTCGAACACCCCTATTTCTAAAACCCTTTAGCGACTCCTAATATAGTAAAATTCTTATTTTCATTTATTATACCGCTTTTGGGGTCATTTCATAAACACCAAACAAAGACTTTTTCTCGAATCTTGCCCATCATTCATCATTGCCTCCGGGTGCAAATTCTCATACTACACCCCCAGAAAATGCGCTTTGCCAGTGTCGATTTCGATTCCCCATACGAAACGTGTGGACGAACTCAATGGGGCAGAGGAGAAAAGGCCAACAGCCAAGCTTAGTCCAGTGAAACCCGATCTAATTCCCCAGGGCCAACAGCACTCTGTTGACTTCCTAAACACAAACACTTCACCACTCCAAATGACACCCATCCACCTCATCTCTCTCTCTCTCTCTCTCTCTCTCTCTCTCTCTC